AAGCTATATTTGAGATTAGACTTGACAAGAAACAGGGTGATTGGTTTGTATGAAGTTTGTGGCAAAGCACAGTCATAGTTTGGCTAAATCTGATGAAGTTCCTTTCCTTCGTTCTCACCGAAATATTAGCATTGCTCAGAAGGCAAATGTTGTGGAGTTGAGAGAAGTTGGTTTGCGTCAGCACCAAGTGATGGATGTCATGGAGAGGCGTCATGGTGGTTTTGAGTCTACTGGTTTTGTGAGTAGGGACCTTTATAATTTTTTTGTAAGACAGAAGAAGAAACAGATATTAGGTGGAGATGCAGATCATGTTATAAAATACATGCAAGCTAGGCAAAAAGATGACATGGAGTACTTTTTTGAGTATGAGACCGATGAGGCTGGTCGATTGAAAAGGTTATTCTGGGCAGACCCTCAATCTCGTATAGATTATGATGCGTTTGGTGATGTAGTTGTTTTTGATAGCACATATCGGGTAAACAAATATAACTTGCCTTTCATCCCATTCGTTGGTGTGAATCACCATGGTTCGACTGTCATTTTTGCGTGTGCTATTGTGGCTGATGAGAAGGTTGCATCTTATGAGTGGATTCTGAAGCAGTTTTTGGATTGCATGGGTCAGAAACATCCCAGAGGTTTGATAACGGATGGAGACAATTCTATGCGTAGGGCAATTTCATCTGTGATGCCACATTCTGAGCATAGGTTGTGCACTTGGCATATAGAATAGAATATGGCAAGACATCTCCGGCCTGAAATGTTGGCTGATTTCAGGGCACTTATCCATTCTACTTATGGTCCGGAAGAGTTTGAGAATAAGTGGGTTGAGTTCAAGGACAAACATAAAGTGGGTGAAGATAATCAATGGTTGGTTAGAATGTACAACTTAAGGAAGAAATGGGCTGCTGCTTATTTAAAAGGTAAGTACTTTCTAGGAATGAAAAGCAACCAGCATAGTGAAAGTTTGAATTCAAAACTTCATAAGCATTTGGATCGTACAATGAGTTTAGTTGTATTGGTTGAGCATTACGAACATTGCGTGTCGCGTATAAGACATAGGGAGGCTGAGCTAGATTCAAAAGCTTCACAATCAGTCCCCTTCACGTGTACAGATGCAAGTTTAATTGAGAAAGAAGTAGCGCGCATATATACACCTGCAATTTTCAAGAAGGTTAAGTTTGAGATTATTAAATCCATGGATTGGGAAGTAATAGATTTTATTGATGAGGATACAGTAGTGAAGTATGTCATGTGCTTGAAAGAGAACAATGAGAAGCTGAAGATTTTGAACTGTACTTATGAGGAATCATTTTTGAAGACAATGAGTTGCCCTTGCATGAAACTTGATTGTGAAAGCCTTCCATGTCAGCACATGTTTGCAGTTCTGTTTTATTTGAAGATGGATGCCATTCCTGAAAGTTGCATAGTTCGCAGGTGGACTGTGAAAGCCAAAAGTGTCTTTCCGTCGGATAGATATGGTGAGACATTTTCATGGTCGGACCAAATGGAAAGGTATCGCATGTTGCGTAGCTTCGGTAGCGAAGTACTAATGAAGTGCTCCATATCTGAGGAATGTACATTGAAGGTGATGGAGATGCTAGAAAAGTTGGATTTAGAAACTGAAGATTGTGATGGTAACGAAATAGAGAGGACACTGTGTGGTCACGTGGTAGGTCAAAGTTTACGTACAGACATTAGTGGCCATGTTTTGGTACATGATCCCATGGAGGTAGTTCCGAAGGGAGCACCGCGAAAAAGATTGAGAGGTTTTTTGGAGAAGCGTGTTAGGCGTTGTGGCTATTGCCGTAACGGTGGCCATACCATTCGTTCGTGTCCAATTTACGAGAGGTAATTTATATGTGACAAGTCAAGCTAGTTCAATTGGAAAAAATACCTGCGTATTTAATTGGTTCACAATTTTTTTCAGGAAAGTACGTGTTGATGTGTGAGAACGATGGAGTTGGCCGTCAAATTGCATCGTTGAATAAGACAGGAAAGGAACATGTATTTTTTGTTAGTTTGTTTATGTTCTGAGATGAAGCAACATGGGGTGGAACTTGATGAATATTTGTGGTGTATGGCATTGATGAATATATGTATTAAGAACTTAATGTGAGACGTACTGGCAGTATGCAACTTGCTTTTATTATTGATGTTCAGTCTGTATTGGCATTGCTGTGCGTTGTAGAATGATATGCTCTTGTGTTTGACTTGTATTTTGGGATTGAAATGCTGCTCTTGTGTCTGTTATGTGATTTAAGTCTGTTTTGCTTAAGTTACAGCGAATCACGAATTGCTGTTTATTGCGGCTGCCATTGCTGTGCAGTTCGAATTGTACATTTATTGTGCAGTGAGCAATGGAAGGATACAAAAAAAACAAAAAAAACATTCATTTGGTATGCCCTTGTCAAGTACACATCGTTTTCATACCAGCATCTACTATGAAAGCCTCCAGCGTACTGCAGGCCGTTTGGCCCTGCACAAATGAACCGACATAGTAACCACAATAGATAATACCAAAAAAAAAAAAACTCAATCACCTCAATTGATAGTCTCGGTAAAACAAGCATACTAACCACACTTGATAGTTTCGCGCCGCACACTAGCAAAAAACGATGAAGGGTCTACTTCCTCTTCCATATGACTCTCGGATTCTGTCTCAGTGTCACTGTCGGATTTTACCTCTTCATCTATGTTAACACAAATCAATTGCTCAATTCACGGTCATCAAAAAAATGTTAACACAAATCGATGGATGCAAAACATTACCCGTGTCACTGTCGACTTGGATAACAACCTTCCTGTTGTTCACCATAGTCGGCTGCGTAGGCGAGGTCGGGCAGTCGGAGGGGTTGAAGCCACGTCGGAGTCGGCGGCGCAGTCGGCGGGGTCGGAGTCATCGGCGTCGTCGGCGGGGTCGGAGGGGTCGGCGTCGACGGCGGGATCTGAGGGATCGGAGTCGTCGGCGTCGTCGGCGGGGTCGGCGGGGTCGGAGGGGTCGGCGTCGACGGCGGGGTCTGAGGGGTCGACGGCGGGGTCAGGACCGTCGGCGTGGTCGTCGGCGGGGGAGTCGTCGTCGGGGTCGACGGCGGGGTCGGAGGGGTCGACGGCGGGGTCGGAGGGGTCGGCGTCGACGGCGGGATCGGAGGTGTCGGCGGCGGGGTCGGCTGGCTCCTCACATGGTCGGTCAGATGGGATGAAGGTTGTGGATGGGGGAAACCCTAGAGAGTGTGCCTTTTATTGTCTATAAAATGGGCCACCTTATGGGCTTCAATAAACGGGCCACTCAATGGGCTTTTGTGACGTGATAATTAGCAATGAAATAGATTGACACAAATTTAAAGCCGCATCAACACACGTCATACATATTTGAAGCATCAACATCCCTGATACATATTTTCGATAATTTTAAATAAAAGAAATGCAATAACGACTAGGGAACCCATAAGCCAAGCCTTGAGGTCTTCTGTTTCCTTTTTTATCCTGGAAACTCTCTTCTTATGTTTTGCTTCGATTGCCGAGATCTGTGAAGCCATCTGAAATTCTAACTTCATTTTGTCTTCTTCGACTATTGTTCTGTCTACAAAATTTGACCATTGGTACTGCGCCTTGGTAGGGTTGCGTGTACTTGCATGGTCCAATGCAAGCCAGAGCATCTCAAATGCCTTTTGTATTCTTGGTTGCCATTCTTCGTCAACCCAAAACAAAGCGTCGCACTGGTCCTCTTCCTCCAGTGGGCAACCAAGAAACCTTCTTCCGGTGTCCTTCCATTCCCATGCAGTTCTTCTCTTCGGGCGGAGGCCATGACGACATTTCAGCTGGGTACCGGTTTCATCCCCAAAATACTCGCCGTCGTCAATATACATGGGAACTTCCAAGCAAAGTCCAGAACGGTGAAACTAGCAAAAAATCAAATGAACAGAACGAGTCAACTCGAAGTAACGGCGACGCTTAAACTAATAATACTAACGCTACGAACGATTTACACGATCGGACATACCTTGTCTTTCATGTTCGCCAACTGGGGATGCAGCTCAGGCAGAAAGAGAAGAGATGGAATGGTGGAGAACAGGATGCATCAGAGAAGAATGGAAGTAGTATATAAGGACGCATTGGGACTGTTGCTTTCATTGCTTGGCATTTAGTAGTAGTTGCACATTAAATTAGGCGTACACAAATACACATGCACGGCTGTCATAAATCAGTCATATACATGTACACAAGTGCACACGACTACTCCCTCCGTAAAAAAAAAAAGACTAACCAGACATTTTCCAAGTCATACCTGTGTGTTCGTCTTATGTGAATTTTTTTTATAATTCGTATTTTCATTGTTGTTAGATGATAAAACATGATTAATATTCCAATGAGCGACAAGTTCAGATGCGACAAGTCACGTACGATCGGACCTAACAGACAGGTGTGACTCGACACGTTCAGATGCGACAAGTCACGTACGATCGGACCTAACAGACAGGTGTGACTCGACACGTTCAGATGCGACAAGTCACGTACGATCGGACCTAACACACAATTGTGACTCGACACGTTCAAATGCGACAAGTCGCGTACGATCGGACCTAACACACAGGTGTGACTCGACACGTTCAGATACGACAAGTCACGTACGATCGGACCTAACAGACAATTGTGACTCGACACGTTCAGATGCGACAAGTCACGTACGATCGGACCTAACAGACAGGTGTGACTCGACACGTTCAGATGCTACAAGTCACATACGATCGGACCTAACACACAGGTGTGACTCGACACGTTCAGATGCGACAAGTCACGTACGATCGGACCTAACACACAGGTGTGACTCGACACGTTCAGATGCGACAAGTCACGTACGATCGGACCTAACAGACAGGTGTGACTCGACACGTTTAGATGCTACAAGTCACATACGATCGGACCTAACAGACAGGTGTGACTCGACACGTTCAGATGCGACAAGTCACGTACGATCGGACCTAACACACAGGTGTGACTCGACACGTTCAGATACGACAAGTCACGTACGATCGGACCTAACACACAATTGTGACTCGACACGTTCAGATGCGACAAGTCACGTACGATCGGACCTAACAGACAGGTGTGACTCGACACGTTCAGATGTGACAAGTCACGTACGATCGGACCTAACACACAGGTGTGACTCGACACGTTCAGATGCGACACGTACGAGTGTGTGACACGTTGTACTGGTGTGACACGTTCTACTGTGTCCCACATACACACCTCACGTATGAGTAGTAGACGAGCTACAGATCACACATTGAGTAAAACGGATCACATATGGAGTAGTACACAGCACGGTTGGATGGAGGGCTCATCGTTTGTCGTGTCGATTGCATTCACACACCAACCAGATGACCATCATCTAACCATGCGTGCAGTAGTACCTATGCGTCACTGTACTGTTGTGCATTGGGAATAGCATTTAGTCCTTGGTCAGAACATCATATGAATGCACATATTTATTGCTGTCAGCACAGTAAACGAAGAGATGAAAATTACTGCGTAACAAATAGCTGACTGATGGCATACTTTCACTCCTAATCCCCATATAAATTACAGATTATTTACAAAGAAAGTACAGTCTGATCTCTTATCGCATCAACATCGCCAGAGAAATGGAAGACGACGAAGTCAGAAATGAAGCACAGTTTGAACCTTCGGTCCAGCCGCGCTTTGATGAAATCACAACTGAAGCACTGGTCACTGAGCATAAGGTTAGCTTCGGTCATTTTTTGTTTATTGGCCTTATGTTTCCATACTTCTGAAGCTGTTCTATTTTTCATGAACTTCATAGCCTGTCATTATGAAAGACATGACTATTGCATGTTCAATACAAAGATTTCTCGCTGTAGTTGCTAATTTTGACAAGAGTAAGATATCACAAATTGAGAGGATTGGATTTGGCCGGATGCTTGCCCTGCCAGATATCACCCTTCACCGCAAACTGATTGGGCAAATTGCTGAGAGATATGACAGTAAAACTGAAACAATTAACATCCAAGGAACAGCAATACCAATAACAACCCATGATGTGAAGTGTATCATGGGGTTGCCTGCGGATGGTATGATTATCAAGCCAAAGCCTCACATGAATGGAGAAGACTACAAATATTATTCAATGTACAAGCAACATAAGGGGAAGAACATTTCCCTACATGAGTTGGCAAGACAAATCAATAGTGCAAAACACCCAGATGAGCACTTTCTTAGAAGATTTGTACTATTCACCATTGGGTACATCCTATGCCCCACCACCAAGCCAATAGTTAGTTCTCAGTACCTAGCCCTTTTGAAAGACATTGACAACATTAAGAACATCAACTGGGCTAGAATCACAAGAGATTACTTAATCAATTGTCTGAATGAATTGAAGGGAGGAAGGAGAAATCTAGAAGGGAATGTACCATTGCTTCAGGTATGAAAGTATCCATTACACGTCTCCATTTGCAATCCACATTCAGTGATTCTTGCTCTCTTTTTTTTTCAGTTTTGGGCATGGGAACATGTACACATTAACGATCCAATGTGCACACTGACATACGTTGGAAGGCCACCGCCGCTAATGGCCTATTGGAATGAAATGAATGTAATGACATGGCTAAAGTACGACAAGAAATGTATTCTTGAAACAGGGACTGTAAGTTACAACTCTTTGCAACATTAAATATTAGTTTTAACATGTTAATTACCTACTATTATATACTATTCATATTACATTACAGGTTGTGGTTGTCATAGATGATCCTGAAGAGATCAAAGGGGACATTGTCCCAGTACAATGTGAAGGCCAAATTGACGAAAAAAAAATTGATGGTTTCATGGAAGATAACACTGTGGATGTCATACACATCGTACCTGAGCCTGAAGAGATCAAAGGGGACAATGTGTCAGAAGACTGTCAAGGCGCCACTGCCGAAAACAATAATGGTGATTTCATCAAAGACGACACTCCCACCAATGAAGAACCGGATTATATGTTCAAAGCAACTAAAGAAAGAACGGCTGCAAACGGATTCAACTCACATGGAAGAGGCGATGATGATGAGAGTCCACACCATGTTTACATAGAAGACGATGTTAATGTTCCATCAAGTCCTGAAAATTTCAAATATCCAGAGGTAATAGCCAATGTATGAAGTTTAAACAGTTCAACTCAAACCTTTATTAAATCTCTCTGTTGAAGGCATCAAGTCCTGAAAATTACAAAGATCCTGAGGTAATACCCACTGTATGAAGTTTAAACTACTCACCTCAAACATTTATTAAATCTCTCTGTTGTAGGCACATCAATCAGCCAATTTCGATGCAATTATGACACAACTCATGCAGATTCAACAAGGTTGTCAGTTTCTGGACAACAAGATATCCACAAAACTAATCTCAATAGAGAATACTTGCATTCAAAATAGAAGAGATATTCAGGTACAGAACCAATTTTAACAGTTATTGTACTCATAACAAATTCAGGTACTAAGTTAATGATATTGTACTTGTACTATTTATGATTTCGAACATGCATAGGCAATAAAGTACAGGTTGGGTACAACTTCAAGGTCACGAACTTTCCGTAAATTTAAACCAGCAGCCAAACAAGAAGAGACAGTAATTGATTCCAGGGCAGATTGCCGACAAGACCTAGTTGATGATTCAAAGGTAAGGTTGCAAGCAAAATAGTATATTCCAATGAGCATTACAAATGACTAACTAATCTTGTTGCATCTTAACAGAACTACGATAGTCAACCAAATGGAACAGCTACTTCTCCACACATAATCGAAAGCGATGACAATAGCCAGCAAAATCCAACACTGGTTTTTCAAATAATAGACCTACATCTACATTACAAATGCTACACTGACCATTATGCTAATTGCTTGTACATTGCAGCAGTTATCAACAATTGGCGGAAGGCTTAGACGACCGGAGGGAAGGATTATCAAGCCAACACACAAGTCACAAACTGATTTCATCTACTACAAAAAAACATTTCCAAAGCCAGTTAAATCTAGTAGGGAACCGAAACCACATGATCTAAGCCTGCTGGATGAAGTAACCTTGAGTTACATCTCTAAGAGTGAAGACAAAAAATTGCTATCAACAATTGCAGGAATCAAGATTTTTCGACAGCATCTGAAACCACTTATCCTACCAAAACAGGCTCCATCCAAAGCAAAGTGGTTGAACGGCACTGTAAGCACTGCTATCTCCTGCTTCTAATTTAACCAACAACAGAATAATTAAACACTCACAATATGCACTGCTATTGGACAGGTCATAGATGCATACATACAAATCATCATAGACAAGCAATCCGACACTCCACGAGGACAGGGAATTGCACTCCTTGAAACTGCAACACAATGCCAGCTGTGGAAAATTAATGGTACAGACAAAGGTACATGCAACAAGAGATATCGTGATCAAAGATCTAAAGTTGCTGCCAGCTATTTAGAGCATGAAATGGTAATACATACATCGTATACATTATATCCATAAGTGAAAATGCATTTCTTACTCATGATTCCGCATGTAGATTTTCCTACCCTTAAATAGAAACTCGGCCCACTGGTATGTAGCTGTCCTGGATGGTGTCAATGAAAAAATCCAAATACTGGACTCACTGCATATGGATAGGACAAGCTATGATGCAGAAAAAACCCTTACCACTACGGTATAATGAAAACACATTTCATACACTTCCCTTCTGAAAGCACTACAACTAATTATATTTCTTTGCAATATAACAGATCAAAGGAATAGAGAAGTATCTTCGTTATGCCAAACAAGATGAACACAAGACTTATAAATGGAATTCTACGAACATCACGAAATGGCCAATATGCCCGATGCAAGTGCCTCAACAGAAGGACGGGTAACCATTTCTACTATCTGTAAATAAAAATTACTATGATGTCTAAATGTAACACTATAAACATAATTGAAAATTTCAGATGGTCATGTGGATTGTTTACGCTCAAGTGCATTGAACACTGGAATGGAAAAGACCTATCCCCCGAGTACGATGCAATGGCAAGTATTCTCTGCTAAGATCTGCTATGCGATCTACGTGCTGAAGAAGTATATCATGTCTAATTTTTCCTCGTTTTATTATTTCAGCACACGACAACTACTTTTAGAGCTAAAGTGGCCACCACCTTGATCAATTCAACCATGAATGAGGTGATTCAAGTCCAAGAAGACATAATGCATCTACACAAGGAAGAATCTGAAGAAATTTGCCACAAACAGGAGCAAAACATGTCAAGTACTTATAATTGATGATAACAAATTCTCTATTTTTATCTTGGTCAACTCAGTGATGTAAACGTTCTTTCAAACAGTTTCAGATATATGCAGTACTCAAACATATTGACCCTTCATTCAATCATGCATTTTTCATTGCAAACCATAAACCATCATTTTCCATTCAAACAACATACCAGTGTGATACAACTTTTTTCTTCCAAACATCCCACCACGGTCTGAGACGGCGAGGACACACGATTTGGCAAAACCGATAGCCCACCACGAGCGCACTACCAACGGCCGATAGATCCGCTAGCAGTGATGCACCGCTCCTTGCCGCGCGGGGCCGGCGACGGCGTCGACGGCGGCGATTTGGCAGCACCGATAGCCCACCACCAGCGCTCTACCAACCGCCGATAGGCCCGGCAGCAGCGATGCACCGCTCCTTGCCGCGCGCGGGGCCGGCCACGGCGTCGACGGCGGCGACGCGAGTATCCACGGCCTGTTTGCCCTCGCATCGCGCTCCTCCACGACTAAGTGACCGCGAGCAGACCAGGCGCGCGGGGGGCTGTCGCTCGGGGCGACGGCGGCGCCGCGAGCACCGCAAGCCTCGGCGCTCGGGGAGGTTACTGCTGGGGGAGGCGGCAGCCGGAAGCCACGGGGCTCGCGGCGACGGCAGCCGGAAGCCGCGGGGCTCGCGACGACGGCGGGGAGGTCAGTGCAGCAGGCGGCGGCGCAGTACAAGGGTTAGCGGCGGACAAGTCTCTGCGATGCGGATGGAGACCAATTCGTTAGGGCAACGATACACCACTCATCGATCCGGATATTGTGAAAAGACAACGCTACCCTTCCACCCTACGATTTCAGGCGGTACCGCGCAAAGGAGAAATTTGGTACCGCGCGGTACCGTGCATTCCTGACCGTTAGATCTGTTTACATCCAACGGCTGCGATTTGGTACCACCTTGGTACCACGCGGTACCTCGCGACGGTGCTGGACGGTAAAAACCGTAAATATGGAATTATGAATATGCCTTTTTACGCTATTTCAATAATATGATTTAGTAGAACGATGTTAAAAGAAAACTACTTAGTTTGTTTTGAGATCAACAAATTTCAACATCATTTCAGAGGGGAAGAAGTCAAGCTTACACATTCTACGTATAATAAGCGTACAAATCACATTATAGCTGTACGTATATAGGAATAGCTTGAACCTTGAAATCTAGCCGGCCGCCTGGGTTGGAAATGGATCCAAAGTGCCCGATTAGGCATGCAGTGCATTAGGACTAATCTAAAGTGCCCCATTTGCATCAAGTAAAGTACTATATTAACTACAGTAAAATCGCACACCGTTGTATGCATTTGATCACTGTAGCACAGACATCGCCGCGAGGAACCCTTTCACAGAAACTGTTCGAATTTAAATGTTACAATGATGTACTTATGCGTCAGGTTATTCAAATGACTTTGAACTAATCACGTGGTAAAGCAGTATCTCATCTCCAAGACAGTGGTCAACAATCCCAACAAACGCTCTCTCTCAGAAAACAAAAAAGACCCAACCAACGGTTGAACGCACAATGAGAATGTGAGGGAATTGTAATCCAACACCGAAGCTCACACAGGTCGCTGGCCTCCCACCACCACCAAACCCAACCCCGGAACTAAGCCTCCATCCTGGCCGTCCATCGGCCATCCAGACGCTCCTATCGCGCCACACCAACCCCACCACCGCTTTGCCCCCGTGACCAGGTCAGAGCGGCGGACTAGCCCAACGAGACGATACGACTTGTCAATTTGCCCATGCGGCCGTGCCCACCAACCAGCCAGCACAACAGAGAGCACGAGCGCGCGGCGCATCCACGTCTCTCCTCCATTCCGCCGAGGCCGAGCAGCCGATGGATCGCGGCCCGCCAACCCTGTTTCCTTCCGTGGCACACGGGTTTCCGCGCGAAACCGGCGAAATTCGCCGCATCTCTTCGTGCTGAGCCGTTTCCCACGTACTGACTCACTACTACTTGCTACTGCCACCCACACCAACCAATCCATTGACGCTATATAAGCACGCCACGGCCAACGGCACCCGACCCAGCAGCCACAGCTCGCTTTGCAATTCCACCAACTAAAATCAAACCACCAAAACACAACACAGGGACGTATCGCACAGCCAGTGAGCGGGTCTAGTTCGAGCAGCATGGCGGCCTCCGCGATGAGGGTGGCCATCGCCACCGGGGCGTCGTTGGCGGTGCATTTGTTCGTCAAGTCGTTCGTGCAGGCGCAGCATCCTGCTCTCACCTTGCTGCTGCCAGTGGCTGTGTTTGTCGGCATTGCGGTGGGCGCGAAGGGCGGGAGCGGTGGTGACGGGAAGGCGCCGCCGGGGCCGGCGGCCGTGCCGGTGTTCGGCAACTGGCTGCAGGTGGGCAACGACCTGAACCACCGGTTCCTCGCGGCGATGTCGGCACGGTACGGTCCCGTGTTCCGTCTGCGGCTGGGCGTGCGCAACCTGGTGGTGGTGTCGGACCCGAAGCTGGCGACGGAGGTGCTGCACACGCAGGGCGTGGAGTTCGGCTCCCGCCCGCGCAACGTCGTCTTCGACATCTTCACCGCCAACGGCGCCGACATGGTGTTCACCGAGTACGGCGACCACTGGCGACGCATGCGCCGCGTCATGACGCTGCCGTTCTTCACGGCGCGCGTCGTGCAGCAGTACAAGGCCATGTGGGAGGCCGAGATGGACGCCGTCGTGGACGACGTGCGCGGCGACGCGGTGGCGCAGGGCACCGGCTTCGTGGTGCGACGCAGGCTGCAGCTCATGCTGTACAACATCATGTACCGGATGATGTTCGACGCGCGGTTCGAGTCGGTGGACGACCCCATGTTCATCGAGGCCACCAGGTTCAACTCCGAGCGCAGCCGCCTCGCGCAGAGCTTCGAGTACAACTACGGCGACTTCATCCCCATCCTCCGTCCCTTCTTGCGGGGCTACCTCAACAAGTGCCGTGACCTCCAGAGCAGGAGGCTCGCCTTCTTCAACAACAACTACGTCGAGAAGAGAAGGTACATTCCATTTTTCTTACTTTACTGCATTCCCTATCCATTCTTGTCATGGAAAAAATGAGGATTGCAAGGTAAATTTGTTCGTGTCTAATCAACAAAAATCTTGATATGAAATGCAGGAAGGTGATGGACACTCCGGGAGACAGGAACAAGCTCCGGTGCGCGATCGACCATATCCTTGAGGCGGAGAAGAACGGCGAGCTGACGGCGGAGAACGTGATCTACATCGTGGAGAACATCAACGTGGCCGCCATCGAGACGACGCTCTGGTCCATCGAGTGGGCGCTGGCCGAGGTCGTCAACCACCCGGCGGTGCAGAGCAAGGTCCGCGCCGAGATCAACGACGTGCTCGGCGACGACGAGCCCATCACCGAGTCCAGCATCCACAAGCTGACTTACCTGCAGGCCGTGATCAAGGAGACGCTGCGGCTGCACTCCCCGATCCCGCTGCTGGTGCCGCACATGAACCTGGAGGAGGCCAAGCTCGGCGGGTACACCATCCCCAAGGGATCCAAGGTGGTGGTGAACGCGTGGTGGCTGGCCAACAACCCGGCGCTGTGGGAGAACCCCGAGGAGTTCCGGCCTGAGCGGTTCTTGGAGAAGGAGAGCGGCGTGGACGCCACCGTCGCCGGGAAGGTGGACTTCAGGTTCCTGCCCTTCGGCGTGGGCCGCCGCAGCTGCCCGGGGATCATCCTGGCGCTGCCCATCCTGGCGCTCATCGTCGGGAAGCTGGTGAGGAGCTTCGAGATGGTGCCGCCGCCGGGCGTGGAGAAGCTGGACGTGAGCGAGAAAGGCGGGCAGTTCAGCCTCCACATCGCCAAGCACTCCGTCGTCGCCTTCCACCCCATCTCTGCCTGAACTCATCGAATCCCTTTGAATCAAGTTCGTGCCATCAGTCGATAAATCCAATTAAAATTTTTGTTTGTTTATAAAATTGCAGAAGAATAGGTTATAAATGACAGCTTACAGCATGTTTTCAGTTTTGTTTCCTAAAGAGTGTAATTTGAAAAGTGAAATGGAATTGTCATCCAACTAGTGTGAGAAAGTGCTCTGCTTTGCGTAAAAAGAAATGTGCTCTGCTCTGCTCTGTTCTGTTATCTCTTCCTTTGTAGTCTGACTGTATGTTCAGAACATTATCCATTTTCCTGTGTTGCGGTCTTGCGGATGCCCGTGCGAAGAAGAGCAAAGGTCATCTTCTTCAATCTTCATCACCGGCATATCGCTGGCACAGCCGACGCTGATTAGTTCGGCATGTATTCCTTTTGCGACCTTGGAGGCTTGGATGGATTACTGGGCGCCAGAATGGCCATCCAATCGATGGAAAGGTCATTATGAGACGGCCTATAATATAAGCTCACTACTTACTAATATAAATCAATGTTAGAGATAATATGATTGGCTATAATGTTAGTTTTATTTTTGTCATCCTCTCTTTCTCTCACCATAAATTTATACTAGCTCTTGTATTAGAGCCAATACTTTCTGCTTTTCTTTACCTCTCTCTCTTCCATTATTATCCTTTCTCTAAGATCGGAGAATACAGATGACTGACGGTGATGGTCCTGAGTCAGTTTTTGTTAGAGATTACCTATTGATCTTTCGAGTTTTTTTATAGGCAGTGTCGCAGTGATTACCAACGGTAGCAATGTTTCATATGCCCCTTCATATTCTCAGCGTAACTATGCCCATAAGAAAATGAAAGGACTGTTTTTTTTTTCTTTGTTGCCCTACCAATATTTTGATTGCTTAAAGTGGTAGGCATGATGGTTTTGGTTTTAAGCCAAATGATTGATATTACCAATATCCAATTTGGTACTTTCTAGATTTTAATTAATTTCTTTCTAAATAGGAAGGTAACCCGCGCATTCGTGTAGGTATGCGTATTAGTTTGTTTCGAGAATAGGTTTAAGAATGGAAGCTCAAATTAAAAGTGAGGTGATTTTCTTTTCTAAATGAATATTCGTTGTCTCTGTTTTTTCTAAATGAATATTCGTTTAGAAAAGAAAGAAACTTTCGTTGATAAAGCCTTCACCTCTTTGATATGTAAAAGCAAAGTACTGTAGAGGCACTAGTAATAGTGAAAAGTACGGACAATTTTTTTTTGAAATTTTATTAGATTTTCTCTAATTGGTTAACTTTACTTCCTATTAATATTTTCTATTTTATGTGTATACACTCTTATTCTAAGTTCAATTTTCGCGTGATGATAAATAGGATAGAGTATAACACCTTATGTATAAACCTTTTTCAGGAAAAAAAAATCAATCACCCTTATGTATAAGAGCAGGTACAATAGCAGGCTATAAGCCGGCTATAACCATATATCGAGAAGAAAAGAAAAGAGAGAGAAGAAAGCGGGCTACAAATTTGTAGCTGGTTGCAACACGGACTCCAAGATGTTATATGTGTATGAGAGGTGGGACCGGGTATTAATGGTGTAGTATATTTTTATAGTTAACTATTGTATGAATGAGCTATTAGATTGGCTATAGATGTTTTGGAGCCAGTAGTTGGCTATACTATTGACCTTGCTCTAAGCTGCTAAGACTGGTTCGGTATATGTTCTCATTGTTTACTCATCAACGTATTGGGTGGTACTTGAGGCTGCCTTAAATGCATGGGGTTATAGAGTCTTAAGAGCAAGGCTAATAATACAACCAACTTGTTGGCTGTAAGGTTTTTTTAGCCTTCTCTCAGTCCATTCATATAATAGTTAGCTTTTTACAATTAATACAGGGCTCACTTGTCTATCTTACAGAGTTTCTTGGCTCTTGTGTCCAAGCCGTCTGTAAGTTTATAAGTTTATAGCCCGCTTCTCCCCTCTCTCTCCTCTCTTCTATCCTCCGCATCAGTATTTAGTCGGCTTACAGCCTCCTATTGTACTTGCTCTAAGGTTCCGTTCTTTTCTCCAACAACAGTTGGATGAAGATAAATATTTTTTGGCACGCTTTTCAAACTGCTAAACGGTGTGTTTCGTGCAAAAATTTTTTATATGAAAGTTGCTCTAAAATATCATATTAATCTATTTTTCAAGTTTGTAATAATTAAAACTCAATCAATCATACGTTAATACTACCTCGTTTTGCGTAAAAAAAAACTTAATTTTCATCTTCAGGAGAATTTGCGGGAACCGTGTTGGCGTAAAAAACGTTGTGTGGGAGATAACCCATTAGAGTATCACCAACACAGTTCCCACAAATTCTAATTCAAAATTTTCTTTTAGGAATCTCTAATATGGATTTAGGATTTTTTTTTAAAAAAAACATACCTCCAACAGATTGCCCAGAACTAACTCCCGAAAACAAAAAAAAAGTGAGCTCACCTCGAACTCTTCTTCATATGATTGGCCCCCCTTCCCGTGCATGATCGGCGCTCCCCCTCCTATCCACGCGATCCATCGATTGGGAGTGGTTGCGTGTTCTCGACTTGTGGATAGCCAAAAAAAAACAGATATGAGATTTTCAAATTTTAGGCAATTGATCAGATGGATTGTTGGAGCATGATTTTCATCTGAAATCCTATAATTGTTAGGATATGTTTATGAGAACTATTGGTGATGCTCTTAGGGAATGTTTCGTGTGGTGTCAGGCTCCATACAAACCAGCGACAACAACTTCGCATGCATTTGATATTTCTTCTGTAATATTTTTCTATAAAAATTATAGTTTTAATATTAGAAATTTCTAGATATAACTGCACACATTTATATTATATAATCTTTGATGTATATTCTGCTATGCCTATCTGGGTGAATACTGCTAGTTTTCTATGGGGAGGTGGGGAGGTAGGTGAGTGAAGTGCGGCAAGATCATCGGCACGGCACCTTCCTAGGCCAGCGACAGGATTCATGTAGTGGCAACTGCGGAGGAGGAGACGGGGAGATTTAGGAAGAGGAGAGGGGACCCACCCATCTGCGCTCCTCAGCAAATGGCGCTGTGCTTGAACCGCAAGGGAGAGAAGAGGGTAAAGAGAGGGGTGATGGCGTGGGTCCCACTGTATCTTTTTTATTTTTAACTGGACAATCACTGACATGTGGGTCCTATGTTTATGTTTTTTTTTTACTTTAAGCGCTATGTGAACACCACGTAGACACCATGTCAGTCGAAACCATAGTCCAAACTTCCTTGGGACCTTGTTTGCACTGGTTTTGTGAGTTGAGGGACGTGTTATATCTGGTATTGTGGTTTAGAGACGAATTTTAGACTCGGTGACAACTAGAGGACCTTCAGTGAACTTATTCCAATTTTGGGACTGCTATGTGTCCAAAGTGTTCGTGAGGCCCATGTAGTATTCTATCTAAAAAGGTGCGGCCCATGTATCCCCCCCAGCTCGGCATAGACTTCCGTCGTCTCCTCCTCGTGAGCTCGCCCCTGCGCCGCCTGCGCCGATCTCCATCCCGCGAGCGAGCAGGGGCGCCCGGCGCTGGCGCCGTCGTTCGTCCTGTTGCTTCCGCCCGCATCCTGGTGAGCATCCATCCGTTACCCTACGCGCACCCTCTTCCTCATCTCTCTCTGGTCTCTTCCCACGCACTTCTTCTCGAATTTGCGTTGAACCCTATAGATTCTGTTCTAGAAATTTGCCTTAATCTGAATAACTAGTAACAGTTTGTTTGTTCCCCCAAGTAGTTTGGGGCTTCAATTGAACCCCCTTGTCGGTCCCACGCTAGATCCGCTCCTGCTAGTGTCTGAATTGTTCATCTTGTTTTTAGTACAGAATTACCAGTTCTTACCCCATTTTTTGTGCTAATTTTCGCATCGGAACAGAAACCCTTTCGTTTGTCAAACTCTCTATTGTTGTTTTAATAGATGCCCCTAACTATCAAGGATAATAGTATCTGTGGAATAATGGGATTAATTATTTCTGGCACACCATTTACTCTCTCTCTGTCTCTCTCTAAATTTCACCTGGCATAGCAGCATGCCAGCATAATGCATTTTTTCACCTTTCTCTTGAATACTGTTTTCTCTTTACGGATTAAGGAAAACATTATTGTACAGACAGTGCTCGTTTCAGAATAAATGGGAGATAGGGAAAGACGAACTGTGTTTGTCACAGTAGGGACCACGTGTTTTGATGCTCTTGTCAAGGCAGTAGATTCCCCGCAAGTCAAAGAAGCTCTACTGGAAAAAGGTTATACTGATCTAATAATTCAAATGGGCCGAGGTACATATGTTCCATCTAAGGTCAATGAATTTCTCTTTCATTCCTTTTAAATTGCCACTTTACCAGCACGGAATTCCAGCTTGTTCTGCATGTTAATTCTTCTTTTGGTGCTTTTTTTTTGTCTGTGTGCGTGTTCTGTTCTTGGGGTTAATTCTTGATGAGTTGTCAGATGAACAGAAGTTGCGCGGTTTGATTTCTTGTGAAGAGTTCTGTTTGGATTGCACATTTCTTATTTTCAGTTTTATATAACCAGTTTCGAGTGAATGTTTCTAAGTTGAATGGGTAGGGACTATATCCAATCATTGAATGATTAGGGGATGTTCCTAACATGTGGCATGAATTTATGTTATATTAGCAGATAATAATTGCTTTACTCTGCTAGTGATTCCTCTGTTCTACCTGAAACATTTGTAAGCACCATGTTGATGGTTGTGAAAGTGAAGTGAAACCAGCCAGAAACTTTGATATATTTGAATACAGGTCTCAGGAGATGGAACTCTTCAAGTTGATTATTTCACTTTTTCGCCAAGCATTGCTGATTATATAAGGGATGCTTCCCTGGTCATCAGTCATGCAGGTAATTGTACATGTTTATAGGACATACCAGGTGAAATGTATTTCATTCAAATAACATTTTTACCCAATATAATGGTTTTCTCAATTGAAGGATTACTCCACTGCACCATGAATATGCTCTCATTGTTTATAGGTCATACCTTGTGTAAAGTCTGTCTTCATGGCCAATTCTATTCTGTTGGACATGAGGAGTGTACACCCTTACCGTATAAGCTTATATACAAAACTGGGTTTAAAGATCTTCATGCCAATAGTTTGAACTTGATTAAGGCATATGCTATCTCATTTTTTTCTTAAGTGCTGCAGTGGAGTATTATATCGTGTGGAACGCTTTGGTGCATTACATGAAATCCTTTCTAAACTTGGTAGTTTGTGCCAACAAATTGAGCATAATTGGTGTCTTTAAATGGCTGACGCCTGAAGAGAATAGCTACACTTGTACTGTTTTAACGCCATATTGGCTGCTCGATTTTTATTTACAAAACATCTTCTGATATTATAAGCACTTTTTTGTTAACCAATTTATGTTTTTTCACCTCTAGATCATACTGCTATTTGAGTTCATTTGAACTAATAAACATGCCATTTTTACTTCGCTTCACAATATTTATCTGACGCGTACAAAGAAGCATAATATTTAAGTAAGCTGACCATACTTGCTATTGTTAGGTAGAGTTGTAATATTTCTACCTGCCGTTATGGTCAAATTTCATTAAATGTTACATAAATTCTGTGCTGCCTTGATATGTGCTCTGGATAAATACTGTGAATTTTAGCAAGTATATCATCAATTTTGCATCTTTGTTACTTCCTCCATTTCATAATGTAAGACTTTCTAGCATTGCCCACATTCATATGTTTCTAGATTCATTAACATCCATAAAAATGTGGGCAATGCTAGAAAGTCTTACATTATGAAACTGAGGGAGTAGTTGTCAATGCTGATTGCAATTAACCAGATTGAGCTCTAGCAGGTTCAGGAAGCATATTCGAGACGTTGCGACATGGCAAACCTCTAATTGTTGTTGTAAATGAGGATTTGATGGACAATCATCAGAGTGAGTTAGCAGAGGAACTGGCTACAAGGAAACACCTCTTCTGTGCAAGCCCACAAACACTAGGAGAGACGATCCAGGAAATGGACATAGAGACTCTCAACCCTTATGTGCCAGGGGATGCCAAACCAGTTGTATCGCTGATTAACAAGTTTTTTGGCTTCCCAGATGACTGATTTTTTTTTTCTTATTCCCGCCTTTTCTGTTGTAAGAAAATGAAGTCACATATGGAAGAGGTAGCTGACAAAAGTGAAGTTTCATAGTGGCATGTCACATGCAAGCCTATACCCAACCATTTTGGTATGATTCCAACTCACCAAGTGTAATCCGAGAGAACTCTTTGAATTGTTTGAAAACGGAGGAAATGCATCTTAAACTCCATTGTTAAGCCATTGGGTGCGAAGTAGTATGATTTTTTTTTATTTGAAACTAAGTAGTATGATGTTTATTCCGGGACAATCTCTTTTGCTTTCTCCTTTATGGTATAGTTTAGAAGCAATTAGAATCAGACGGCTGGTGACACATGGAAGCTGTATCGAAAGGCTAAAATCTTCAGGTATTTTTTATTTTATTTTAGGCTTTGATTTTAGTATGATGCCAACAGGGACTCTCCTAGAGGTAGTTTTGATTTTCTTTTTAAGCTTTTGTTTTAGAATTAGTTCCATTGTCTTTCTCCTTTTGTCTTGGTGTCTGGCTCTTTTTCATGATCACTAGGAGAACAATTCAAAGACTAGCTAATATTATTCTTAAAAATCAAACTTTAAAAATTCAAAATCGCTTTGAATTATGGGTTTGTTTGGTTTTTTTTTTAAAAAAAGAGAAAACTTAGCAAACTTTGGTTCCGTAGAAGATGTTTGGGTAGTGTTCGGTTTAAGACCTTTATAGCTTTTGTTGAGTTTTGAGAGTGGAAAGTTTTGGAATTACCATTTTTTTCGAAGAGTTGTGATGGGTGTGTTTGCCAAGGGTACAAAGGTATGCCATATAGAGTCGAAGTTACCCATTGAGGAAGGCCTTGATTCTGCTAGGGATGCACCACAGCACGAACTTTTGCAATCTAACCTATCAAATACTCACACTAGCTGTGCTTATATGAAAAATAGACCGAAAGCAGGGAGATGTGAAATTTTGCACGATACAAAGCTATTCATACGTGTGTGTGTGTGTTTTGGGTCTGAATGCATTCATACTACTACCTCCGTCCCAAAATAAGTGCAGCCGTGAAAATCCGTGTCCAACGTTTGACCGTTCGTTTTATTTAAAAAATTTATAAAATATTTTTAAAAATTAGTCATACATAAAGTATAATTCATGTTTTATCATCTAATAGTAATAAAAATAGTAATTATTTTGAGATGGACGAACGGTCGAACGTTGAAGATGAATAGTACAAAACTACACTTATTTTGGAACGGGGGAGTAGATAATAAGGCGTGCTTCGCGCGCCCTACCATCAGGCAAACAACAAAAAGAAAAAAAAAAGTCATGATGACAGTAAACGCACGGGCAAAAAAAAGAAGTCATGATGACAGTAAACGCACGGGCTACAACCTAATTATTGCAACAAATTAAAATGCCAATGCCGTGCATCTGACATGATAAGAAATGAGGAGATGGACTCAAAAAAACAGTGATGAGTCTTAAGATTGGTCTAACATTACTGAGCGAAACCTAAGAAGGTATCATGGAGCTAAATACATATCAGAAATGCATCATAATTCATCGATTCACGTCACCGAACATCACTCCATTGAATAGGGTATATACGTTATTTAATTATATGTGAATACCCAAGGTATATCAATAATATGGAAGTGTCATATTTATATATCACAGTCAAACAGTCGTATCTTAGGGCTTATTTGGTTTGAAGCCAATTTTTACCCTACCAAAATCTTGGTAGTGCCAAAACCTTGACAAGTTTTAGCACTACCAAATTGAGTAGTATTGAATTTGAACTATTGTGGTAAAATTTTGGTAGCATACCAAATATGCATATGCTACTATTCAAGTTACCAAGAATTTGGTAAGGCAATAAGTTGGTATCAAACCAAACAAGCCCTTAATAACCTATTTCCACCAAAAGTTTTAACCACCAAATTATCTGAAAAAAAGAAGCATTTGTTAGATAATGAAGCATCTTTAACACATTGTATGAATAAGGACATTTTGTGCTAAAACCACTTCAGCAATAAATACACAAAGATTTGGTAAGTATTTTCATACATTGTGAATAAGGACATTGTAATGCACATTTTTTTTATGGCACAGATCATATCAGATACACAAACATGAAATAAACTGGGAAGTTAGTACATATGAAAAGGCGGGGGGGGGGGGGACTTAATTAATATCTCAACTATGGGCATACCTTAGCATTCTTATAGCCTACTCAGCTGATGCTTTGCACAGAAATGCAATTTATAGCCAGTTTAATACTTTAATCATGAAAATTGCCAAGAACTGAACTACATTCAAATTTAGTCAGAATATGGATGATTAATCAAACATATACACGACACATCTGTAGTTTTGTTTTCTTGCGGTCGGACCAATACCACTACAATGGCAGATCTATGTGAGAACTATTTCCTCCGTTTCACAATGTAAGACTTTCTAGCATTGTCCACATTCATTAAGATGTTAATGAATCTAGACAAATGTATGTGTTTAGATTCATTAACATTTATATGTATGTGAGCAATGCTAGAAAGTCTTACATTGTGAAACGGAGGGAGTACCCTACAATAAAATTTAACACCAAATACCCATACAGATATATGTGCCTTCTACAATAGAATCTGTAAAGCAGATGTCTCCTCTTTTTTTTTTTTGCATATAACTTGAAATCACAATAAATTGATCAGCTGGATAGCTGCACATTGAGCCAAGAACACAATAAAAGTAACTCTTACATCTTAAATAACTAAAGTATCTAAATCTAGAATCTCTTAAGCAAAGCTCTTCTCTGGATGTTTTTTTAGCTACATTGCACAACAGAAGCATAGAGCAAAATAGATCAGGATGGGGAGCCAAAGAACACAATTATTAAAGTAAAATAGTTCAAAGCCAGGGACCACATATCTCATACCCAACCAATGCATATCAGTAGGCCATGCATATCTAGTTGATAACTTCAAGATAGTTTCATACTCTGTGCTCATAGGAAGAATAACAAACACCTTAAAGGCAAGGTAACCAACACACAACTATACTCTATACTATGCTCATCCAAAGGTGGCTTTCATGAAAAGAAATAGAAATCATTGTTTACTCTTCTGTGCATTACCTCTGCAATATTACCCCCTGCCACACTGCATAGTAAGCCAAGCACCTGCTAATATGTTTGACCTCACAACAATCTATTCGCTGCTAATAATGTACCTATTTGATATCCAAGAAACAATAACTACTAAATAATATCGTATGCAGAGATAAATCAAAATCAGTAGATTATTACTTGTTTGGTGTTTAAATGTTACAGCAAACAGCACAGCAGTGGTAGGCAGCCAATCTCTAGTTGCTCCAGTCATATGGCCATGTCTTCTACAGCAGCACAAGGCCAAGCCAGAACGGTAGATTGCCCTGATTGACATTAATTCCATTACAAGCTCCCCGGGACAGCAACCGGTGGCCAGATCCGTTGTCTTCGATGGCAAGAACGATGTCAACATGAAAAGCAACAGCAACAGCTAGAACACGGGTGAAGCATTGCAGAGTGTGGAGATTATGGGTACCCCATACCCACACGGCATGGTTATCCGACAGGTTATAGGGGATAACTTATATCTATGGAATATGTAACGAATCATGACTTGGGTATTACGTTTCCTTGTATATTATGGAACGGCCTAAAGTCCTGGTTTGATAATATTGTAAAGTAGATTAGGAAACCGATACCGTATTGGTTAAGGTTTCTATCTTGTAATCCTGCCCCCCACCATATATAAGGTGGGCAGGAGGCCCTCTAGGGGGCATGAGACACAACTAGATCGTCAGATCTATACTACACCCGGCGGATTCAAATCCCTAAACAGGAGTAGGTTATTACCTCTCATTGAGAGGGCCTGAACCTGTCTAAATCCTTGTCTCTGCATCCATCCACTTTTAGGTCTCGTGCGCTACCCCCTTTTATTATTGCCGAATTCATGTTTCGACAGTTGGCGCGCCAGGTAGGGCTACGCCGAGTTATCTGTCAAGAAGTGTGATGGAATCAACCTGAGTCGCTGGCATCATCCTCCCTCGAGTTTCATGGATTATGCCGTCATTGATGCAATCTTCTGATCAAATCGATATCGGGTTTGCCGTTTCAATCTAACCAATGTTATTGTTAGATTAACTTTCAATTACAGATTGACCCCCTGGTATTCACCCCAAGCCTCTCACTTCGGGAGTTTCAATTTCCTCGTCCACGAGTTTGGAATTTTATGCTTCTGTAATTCAGATGCAAAATCAGTCGGGAAGGCTTAAGACTTCTTTCATCTCGTTGGATCGCCGCCATGTTTACCGGTTTTATTGAAGAAAGTTGGCATGTTGTGTTCATCATCTGGTTCAATCTGTTCGGCGATATCAATGCAACAGATCAATTCTCATCCGCCAGCTTTTTTTTAAGAAGATGTGAAATTTCCTAGCGATACTCAATTACTAATCCAAATCGGAGTCAGCCTGAACTTGGAGCCAATCGATCAGAGCGGTCGTCGCCGAGTTATTTCCTTGATCAGCAATACTCGAAGACATTAATCATGCAAGTGTATGTTTCCATCTGATACATGTGCAAGCAAACGTGCATGGCAATTTGGTCAATCAATCAGGAGCTGCCACGTCATCAGCAACCAGGAAAGGAATTTGATTAGTCAAATGATTTATCTATCTAAGATGCATACATGCATTGAGTCGACCAGGGGACCTCCACCGCATCAGATCGCCGCCAGTCGCCTCCATCTCACGTGCATGCATCAACAATCACACATGCATAACTCTCCGAGCGTCGGTCACGGCCGCCGGACTTTTGCCGTTTTTGTTTGCCATAATGATCTGCACCTACCATGGCCTCGACGACGCGCACACACAGGCGGAGTTTTTGCTCTCTTTGGTGGTTTCATCTTTGTTCAGATCAATTGGGCCAAACCCGATGCCATGCAATTTTTTTAGGAACAATGCAATACATCAAGCCATGTACAGTATGTTCATCTATATATTCGGCATGGCTGCCTATTCATGTTGGCTGTCAGCTAGGGCACCTCGCCGGGATCAGTCTTCACCGATGGCCGCGGCTGCCTTCGCCGCCACCGACTGGTGTTTCCGCCTGCAAGGCTGGCCTATTATGCCGCCGTTGATTGGCGTCTATGTCTTCACCGACCGGCCGCCTCGTTCGCCGCCGACTGGTGTTCTCGCCTACACGGTTGG